ATAAATTTTGAAAAATTTTATGGTGTTATGAATGGACCTGATGCTACGTAAGAAAAGGATTATGAGAGTCAGTTTGAGACCATATGGATTTTGCAGTCTGGCAGTGTACATTCCAAAGGGTAGAGAACCAGATCTGCTTTGGGATCGTTTTTGACAACACAGAGGGAAATAATTTTCCACTGAGTGGCCATGTCCAAATGGGAAGTGGACATGCTCAGTGTTTTAACAACAAATAATTTTGAACTTGAATGGAATTTTTTGTGGTTTCTAGTTTTAAAAATGGTGTGGAATCTTAATAGTGTATGTCTCAGTTTCTTAGTGCTGCTGTAACAGAAATACCACGAGTGGGTGGCTTTAATGAACAGAAGTTTATTTCCTCACAGTGTAGGAGTCTAGAGGTCTGAATTCAGGCTCTAGGGGAAGGCTCTTTGTCTGTTCTGAGGGAAAATCTTTGTCTCAGCTTCTCTAGTGTTCTTTGTGGTTTTCCTCGGAGATTTCCACATGGCATCTGTTCTTCCCCCATTCCTGCTTGCTTATATGTGCTTAATCTGCTCTTATTATGTATCAAAAGTGAATCTGATAGGCCTTATTAACATAACAAAGTAAACCTTATTCCCAAATGGGATTACATCCATAGCTATAAGGGTTAAGATTTACAACACATATTTTTGGGAACACAATTCAATACATAACAGTTTAATTGCAACCTTCCTAATGTCATTGGGGAGCCCTGGTGGTGCAATGGTTAAGAGTTCGTCTGCTAACCAAAAGGTCGGCAGTTCGAATCCACCAGCTACTCCTTGGAAACTCTATGGGGCAGTTCTACTCCGTCCTTTACGGTCTCTATGAGTAGGAATGGACTCAATGGCAAACGTTTTTTTGTTTGTTTTTGGTGGGGGGTAATGTCATTGATGAGACAAACACGTTTTAGATGAATAGTGGCAGTTTTGCCCGTGTATGTTATCAGCATACAAAACTTAATAGACCTTTTGAAATTATTTCTGATATTATGTGCTGTCTGCATGTTTGAGCTCCTGCAAATCCAGCCACCTGTTTGCGTTTGATTGCCCCAAGGGCTTGATGCCCCGTTGTAGGTATCTTTTGTTATTGTTAATGAAAGGAGACATAACCCTGGTGATGGAATTTAAAGTGCATTTATTTTGCTACTTTTATATGAAATGATACAAAACTTAATGACTAGGCATATAGTGCATATAGTTAATACCACCTTAGTCCTCATCAAATATCATGTGGTATTTATGCTTAGTGATACATGCAGCTGGTTTTCATTATTTCTGAATATCTTTCCATTATTGTAGGTGATTATTTTCTGGGAATTCTGCCTAATTTACGAACTTGAGTAGAAGCATAAGGTATTAGTGAATATTAAAAGTAAGTCAATATTGCACAAAGAGGCTCTTACTTATTGCAAATGTATGTGGAAATAATGCCATTGGTAGTTACTTTTGATCTTCGTGGCAAAATCAAATTCGGCATAATAGAAAAATCTTTTTTTTACTCTTCATTTCCCTCTTATTTTTAAATAGTATATTTCTGGTCAATTTTTGCATTTCTCCTTTTCAAGAAAGTGCCTTAATCATCTTTTAGGAAAAACTATTTGCTTTTGCCCCCCTCTACCACTATGCAGATATCCCCACTTAATAACCTTTTGAGTTACCATTGATTTATTGCCCATAGCTGTCTGACATACTCTGCTCTGTTTCCATTCCAACCCAGAGGTCAGGCTGTTCCTGTGACCTCTCCCTCTCCTGGCACTGGAGAGGGAGCATTTTCAGCACTTAGCATCCATTTGTTGGAGGAATCTCCAGGTGGCACAAATATTTAAGCGCTCTGCAACTAACCAAAAGGTTGACCATTTGAATCCACCCACAGGTACCTCTGAAGAAAGGCCCCACAATCTACTTTCAAAAAATCAGTCATTGAAAACGCTATGGAGCACAGTTCTACTCTGACACACATGGGATCACCATGATTCGGAATCGACTGTTTTTTTTTTTTAAAGTTATTCATTTAGTAACTGTTCAGTAGGTGACATGGCCTGCCCTTACCCATTTCCTCCCCCTTTTAACCTTAGTCTAATCCAGCTGGTTCTTTTCTAATCCAAGCCTCTGAAATTCTTTTTCAAAGAATATAATGATTTTCATGAAATTCTTCTTGTATACAAAGAGTTCAGCTCCTTTAGTGTCTTAATTTCTCCTGTTTACCATCTCCGAGAAGTTAGGAAGTATCTGAGCAGGGAGGTTCTCATCTCCACTTGGCAGGAAGATGCCTGGGCTTACCATCAGTCTACCCCCAGGTGTTTGGGGAGCCTCCACCTGAACTTGCTCAGCTCCTCCTCCTTCATTTCAGTATTCACCCTTTCTTTCTAGACTCTGAGAGTTTATCCTTTTGTACAGCAATGAGGCTCACTGGGGCAAACAGTGTTGGCTTTTCGGTTGAGATAAAAATAGTCTATTTATTCTTATGAAAATCCCATTACATTAGATTCTCATAGAGCAAAGAAAGGAAAGTTAGATCTCCTTAGAACGATTTTCAAGTGCAGAAAGACGTGGATTATTGCTATATTTTGTTGATATATCTAATATTTTCATTTAGTCAGTGGTTTTCAAAGGGTGGTCCCCGGATCAACAACATCCATGTAGCCTGGGATCTTGCTAGAAAGGCAAATTCTTGCGGTGCCACCTGAGACATACTCATTCAGAAACTCTG